ATGCCTTAGTCTAGGCAGAATTTGGGATAGTACCCTAGGAAGGAGATTTTCCAGGTACTCAGTGGCAGATTTATTCTAACTTATCCTGAGGCCAGGGCCCAAAGTACTGCATGTTACATTGAACAGCTAACATCTAACAGAACTGAACCAGCTAATCACTCATAGAGTGGTGATACATATCTTGCCATTCAAGCTAGGTATTAGCCACTGGGAAGAAACAAGCAGATGACAGCGAAAACCAAAAAGTTAGTGGGCACCTAGGAGTTCTTCACAGAAGAGGTGTTTTCTATGCATTTGTTTAACTTTACTATAAAAAAAAAGAACAATTTAATCACTGATCTAATCTTTAGGGGAAAAGACAAAAGTAACTGTAAACCAAGATATGCACCCAGCAATAGAGAGTAATTCTACTTCAAATGTAGAAGCCAGATTCAAATGTCCCTTAAGGAGGAAGGGGCAGGAGGGGCAGGAGGGGCAGGAGGCAAACAGATGATGTTCCTTAAGATTTCCAAAGAAAGATGGGAGGTAGATAATGACTCAGCACTATGACCAACATGTTTCTCCTGGACAGAATAAACTCTTCTGAAATAAAGAAAAAGGCAAAGAGAGCAAAGAAATCTTCTAGCACCTGGGAAAGAAGTTGAAAAGATCTCACTCCACTAGAGTTTCATTTACCAGCGTTGACTTGACACCCCTGGATATCCTTGTGCTTTGCTGGTCTTGGACAGGTTGGGGTATAATGAAAAGCAGATACCCTCAAAAATGAGTATGTGATCATAAGCTCCTGAATGCCTATCCTCAGTTTCTTTATGGCTTCCAAGAATTGTGGGTCAATTATAAAGGCTTTGTTCCTAAATCTGTGTCTGAGCATAAACACATCTAAAGCATGAAAAGAAACAAACCCAAACCTATCCTAGAGAAGGAAGAGTGTTATCTTTGCCTGCTGGGAGGTCCTGACCCACTTTGCTACTTATTTTGCTTGCTGATGACACTAACAAGACAGAAAGGAAAAGGGCATGTATTATTAGATCCTAACACATCCATTAAAGGGATGCATGAAGACCTGAATTCTCCAGCTGAGTCTGGTAGTCAAAAAGACCTTTTTTTCCTGCTAGTGCTGCCTGAGTTCTTATGACAGGCTTCTCCTAATCAGCTCAAATACTTATCACTTCCAGATACTCAGGAATAGCCCCAAAATATTTCCAAACTAGGGATATACTTGAGCTTTGATAGACAGCACCAGGAAAAATAGCACACCAAAAATTTGTCTGCTTATAATACCATCTCCTTTGATGTTGCAAGAAGCTTGACGTCACAGGCGGTCTTAACGTTCCCAATCGTAAGAGGTTTTTTCCCCCCAAAGTATTTATGCAGTACTGAAGAAAATTGTGCATGGTGAGAAAGCACTTACACCAAGAACCTCAAGAAGCCAAGAATGGCTCAGCACTTAAAATTACAGCACAAAAGACTTCTATGAGCTGCAAGTTTAGGCGGCCACTGAAGACAGGGGCGATGTACTCATCCTTTAACTGTGCCTAACTTAGTATCCAAAGGCAGTTTATTACCATGTAAGCACAGGACCAATCTCCATAACAACCAGTCACATATGGTACTTAATTACTTGTGCAAGCTTTCAGTACTTTTCCGTTTCCAAAATACCATTATAGGATCTTCCTTGTTCATTTGTTTTCAGGAAGATAGATGAACTACCATCACTGCTTCCCTCTTCCGAATTGAAAACTCAGGAGGAAGTCATGACAAGGAAGACTGTCGTTCCCTGTTTTTGAAGAGGGAAACTAACACAAAGAGATCCAGCAGTTTGCCCAAAATGAGACAAGCAAAAGCAGATTTAGGAGCAAGGATAATGAACTCACTCCCCATCTCTTCCTGTCCCTAATCTTCCTAAAAACAGTATTCTGCTCATTAGACCTGCTTTTAAATGGTCTCTTGTCATCATCCCCCTCCCACACAGCAAAGAACAGCAATCATCAACAGCAACAAAGAGAAAGACAAAGGGCAAAGAGACAAGCTCCAATTTGAGAAAATGAAATACTAATTCTAAGTTCTGTTCCTCACTCATGCAAGTCTAACAAATCATCTCAGTTACAGTAAAGCAAAATTTCACACACAGCCACCACAAGAAAACTCTAAAACCCCATGGCCAGAAATCCATACTGAGAATTAAGTTCTCAGGGATGTATCACTTACTTCTATAGTCATCAAGCAGTCATACCAAATAACAATGTAGCTGCCAGCAATCAACATCAGCAAATAGAGCTAACCTAAAAGTAAATGGATCCTGAGGGCTGCTCAGGTATACTTTTTCTTCACACATAGGTCAGGCTGTGAAAGGTAAGAGGGAGAATGTACACCGAATGTAAAATGCATTTCATTTTTAAGAAACTGATATAACTTCTAAAACATACAGAACAATGCTGGAACCAGCTGCTTGGGCGTAACCCAAAATGCGCTGATGAAACCACAGTTATAAAAAAGCGTGTCAGCTACTTAATTACAGCAAAGAGATCACATACAAAACAAACTTACCATCTCTGTCTTCATCGTGAATATTGAGATACAAGTATTCCAGCCCTCTTCCTTTCTTGCCATGCTCTGCTCCCTGTATTTTAGCCATAAGTGTGGTTTTACCTGAACCATCATCACCTGCCAGTAATTTTTTACAGGAAAAAAAGATACTTTCAGAATTAATTTTAACTTTGTAGATAAGATTTTTCAAAACACATTTAAGTAATCAGAATTATCATTATATGGTTTTGGACCTTACTTATTAGTTATTTTCTTTCAAGTATTCCAGCTAAATCCAATGGCTTATACCATGGCAATAAGAACAAAGTACTCGATTATTCCGTATTACATTCCATTTGTTTAAATATATATTATAAATCTAACAATGTAAACCAAAAAGACAATAAATCTAAGAGCCTAAAGACAATAGCACCATAGATCACATTACATAACCTAATTTTAGCAAACTGATGTGTCAGTTCATTCACATCATTGTTTTAAACACGCTTTGTTTCTACAAAAAAAAGCCACCCCACTGCTTGCCTGTGCTACTTACCAAAAACAAGAATATTCTTGCCCGATGGCAATTTAGACCTCGACCGGGTAGAAACTTCACTCAGTATCGAGGACCTAGAAAACCAGCATCATTCTGGTTAGGCTGACACGGGCTCGCGCACACAGGCACACACAACCCACACATTGCCCATTTGACAGCACTGATGAGCTCAGCAGATCTGCACGGACCAATCCAGGCACATTCATTCTGTTTACAAACTCGACACGATGTTACAGTTTAAGTTCATTTTAAACAACCAAGAATATGCCACCTTTTTGAGAAAAGCTCTTCTAATTTCTAAGATACACGCAGTAACATTTACTCAAGTTTTTCTCCCTTGAAAGAGCTCACATTACCGCAAAACGTTACTTTTTAGCTGATGACTGACCGTTCCCCCAATCAGCTGCTGCATTTCATGCACAATCTTTTCTGCATTATTAGCATTTATACAAGCATTACTCAGAGGCAAGCGAAAGGAAAACAGGAGCTGGAGTCTCCTGGAGCCTATCGCGGAGCTGAACCTCTCGGGCCCCGCCCCCCCGCTCTCCTC